GACTCGTGAAATCGCTCGTTGAGGTCGTTTGTGCTCCTACGGCCGTCGTCGTGGAAATTCCTTCAGCAGCTAACGTTGTGGAAATGAAAGCCTTTGCCGGACAATCATCGATGACGAAGATCACGCCATCGACGGAGTAACTTTCCGCCTGCTCTTCAATCCGATGCCATGTCGCATTCGTCACCTCCAAAGACGCGTTGTCACCTGACAAAGTGACAGGTGGACCGGCGGCCTGAAGGCAGTAGGTCTTGTTCTCAGTCACTTGTAGAACCTCAGACACAGAGGATATAATAAGGCCTTTCAGACAGTTGTGGGTCATGTTTCCATCAGAGGCAAAGCGGAACTTCCTTGCTGAGTGTTTATCAAGACCGACCCTCACAGTGGCAGCGCTGGCGTCCTGCCTCTGGGCCACCACGAGGTGGTCTCCGTCAGCGTAGACGGCGAGGTGAGACCACTCGCGCACAGGGAAGGCGGCTTCGCTCCACTCCACTGGCGGAGACTGCGTCTCGCCGTAAAGCCCTGATGTTGACTGAGCCTTAATTTGTTCTCTTTCACTCTGCAGGGAAAGACGGAAGAATGTGTGATTTTCATCGTTCTTGAATTCCACCTTCCATTCCCAGTCTTCTTCCTCCGGGAATATTCCAACGTAGAGCGGAATCTGGCCATCGGCTTCACGTCCTGGGAGAATCACTGGACACTGAGATCTTGTGTCTGGGGAATTCCTGCAGCAAGCACGGCTTGGAGAGAGCACAGGAGGACGAGGCAGCGCCAAGCTAGTGCGCCATATCCGGCCATCTCGGTGTCGAAGGCGGAACTGATGTGGCATCATTGAGAGCTCTAAGAAAGCAACAGCCAGATAAAAGCTATCTGTTTACCGGATGCACACACACACATATATATATGTATGCATATATATATACACATATATACATGTACACGTGTGTGTGTTTGTATATATATATATATATATATATATATATATATATATATATATATATGTATATATGTATATATATGTATATATGTACATATATGTATATATATATATATATATATATATATATATATATATATATATATATATATATATATTATATGTATGTATAGATGTACTCTCGAATTGCCGTGCCCTTGCGGTTGTTGGCGACCACGGATTAGTACACCTGTATATCTGCGTCATTGGCAGTGTCTGCTTCCACCTCCTACTGCTACTTCTTATTCCACCCATGCGCTTCTCCCTTCATCTGCTTCTTACTCTGTTGTATTTTTCCTGTTAAGCTTAGCTCCTCTATCTTTCCTCTTCTCATTCTGCGCCCTACAAACATCATCTGTCTTACTCTCTCGTCTTCCTCAGTTATTCTCTTTCGTTACTCCATCTTCTTAGCCCTTCTTCATTCGATATTCTTTCTGTCCAAGATATCTTCAAAGGCCTTCTTCAGCACGTTTCAATTGTTTCTATCCTCTTCTCAATCTGTTTACTCATCGTCTAGGCTTCTGGCCCGCACAACAACACTGGCCATATATATTTTTAACTGCTTTTTGTCTTGTTTTTAATGATACTTGGCTCTTGGTAAGTATATTTCTCCTCTGAAATGTATTAGTTTCATATATTCTTCGATTACTCTCTCCTATACATCTTCCATCTGTAATGCAGCTTCCAAGGTAGCGAAATCTATGCTGATTGTTTCTTGCTTATCTCTCCTCTTTTACTAATGATAAAATATCTTGCAGTTTCTCTTGTGAATCAGCAATCAAAACTGTATCATCTGCATGTCTTGTACCATTTATATTTCTTCCACCAATACTAAATTCTTCCTGCCTTTCAATTGATCTTATTATCATCTAAATGCATAAAGAGAACGAATTTGGAGACCAAACACAACCCCTGTCTTACTCCTCTTCGTGTGTCCATCACGCCACTCTGATCTGCCCATTTTCACGGCCGCTTTTCGGATCCAGTACAGTTTGTAAACAATTCTGATTTTTTTTTTCTCCATCCACTCCAATGCCCTTTTAATACGTCAACTCAACCTCACTGCTTAACTCTACCAAAAGCTTTCTCACAATCCTTGAAATACAAATACATATTTCTTATCAATTCTATTCTTCTTTCACTTGATATCCTAAGTATAAATATCGTATTTCTCTTTCCTTTTTCCTTCCATAAAGCCATATTGCGCTTCAGCTATCACCCTTTTTTAGCTTTCTTCTCATTCTCTCTGGCACAATCCTTAAGATTAAGCTGAACACTTGACTCATTTTGCTCATAGGTCTATGATTATTGCACTATAGACTCCCAGGTTTCTTTTATAGTTCGAAATATATATAGGCACATATCTCTGACTTCACCTCTTTTGTATATCTCATTTGCTATGCTTGTTATTTTTCCACGAAATCTACCGAGAGCACACAACATATGCATCCTCCTCATACCCCCCCCTTCAAAAAAAAAAAAAAAAAAAAAAAGTAAAAAATAGGTAAAGAAACGAACGAGAGGAAACGCACTTCCTTTTTCCGCTCTGCCTTCGTCAGCGGAAGCAAAAGAGAATTTTTTTTGAGTATTCGTTTCAGCTTATAAAAAAGAAAGAAAGAAAGAAAAAAAAAAAACTACATGCTTGCTTAGGTAGAGAGAATGGCGGGCAGTTAGACGAACAGATTGATAGAAATAGAAATAGACAGAATCGCTTTTAATTTTATTCTCTATTTCATTTAGCTTATTTCTTATTTTCATTTTTGATTCATCATTGTTAATTACTGTAATTTGAAATTAGCAAGTTTACGATACCTGGGACGCAGAAGGCCATTCAGAAAATAACTCTATACTATGAGATCTAACTCACTGGATCCACACGTGGTACAAAATCCGTGGATTGGGCTACGTCAGCGGTGGCTCTCCCTGATATGTGGTTTATAGGCCTATACGTCACTCATGGGCGGTGTCCTTGCCTCCCCTTTGCAATGTTGTCTTCTCTTATCTACATAAGCGTTTTTTTTTTTTTTTATTTATTTTTATTTTCTATTTTCCCCCTTTTTCTTGTTGATCTTTTCCAATGTCTATGTGTCATTTGATGTATCTGTATCCAGACGGTAAAAGATTGTTTTCCTTGCATATGCTCCATATCATCTCTTTAGGTATTCCGTAAGTCTGCAATACTAATAATGATAAGTAATATTTTGTTATCTGTGTCATTTTAGATCATTTTCGTTTACATTTCAGCGGGCAGGAATAAGGACCCTGAAAATGTGAATATTGTCCTCCCTGGAGCCGGTGTTCCTCCAGTCATGACTCACGCACGGTACATTTTTCATTCGTTTAGCGATAGGAATGATCCAAGACCCTCTTCCTAAATGCCCAGTCTAATCACTCCGGCCTTTATCCGAATTCTTATGACATATTCCCGTGACCTAGCCCTCAGCCAAATATTTCCATGATGGCATTTTTCAAGTCACCCGAATACAAGGAGATTTATTACCATACGTCATGCATATTAATCATGGAATACTTGTAGATGATACCTGTCAAATCTGTTTTTGTGAATACATATACAAGTATAAAGAATGTAAGAATTACCTTAATAGTCTCAAAATTTACTTCAGTTCGATGGGTGATTGATTAGAGGACTTCATTTCGCCGGATCAGTAATGCTCAATGGATTCCTTGATCACTTATCTCCTCAGACGCCTCAGTGTTATCTCTGACGCCGTGATGGCAGGACGCGGCAACACGGGGTGGCGCTGCCTCGTCCTCCTGTGCTCTTTCCAAGCCGCGCTTGCTGCTGGCATTCCTCAGAAGCAAAGATCTCAATGTCCAATATTTCCCCCAGGACAAGACATTGGTGGAAAGGTTCCGCTGTACGTTGGAATATTCCCGGAGGAAGAAGACTGGGAATGGGAGATGGAATTCAAGAATGAAACCAAAACATTCTTCCGTCTCAATCTACAGAGTAACGGAGAGCGAATTACAGCGCGGTTAATCTCGGGGCTTTACGGCGAGATCCAGCCTCCGCCAGTGGAGTGGAGCGAAGCCGCCTTCCCTGTGCGCGAGTGGTCTCACCTCGCCGTCTACGCTGACGGAGACCACCTCGTGGTGGCCCAGAGGCAGAACTCCAGCTCTGCTTCTGTGAAATTTACTCTTTCTGACACGGACAAGTGGTTCAGGATTGTCTCTAATGGAAACATGACCCACAACTGCTTGAAAGGACATTCCATATCCTCTGTGTCTGAGGTTCTACAAGTGACTGAGGATAACACCTACTGCCTTCAGGCCGCCGGTCCACCTGTCACTGTGTCAGGTGATGGCGCTTCTTACACAGTGACGAACGCGACGTGGCAGCGGATTGAAGAGCAGGCGGGAAGTTACTCCGTCGATGGCGTGATCTTCGTGATCGAAAACTGCGATTCAAGACTTAATACGACCTCGCCAACGACCCTTACTACTGAAGGAAACCCAACGACTATTGAAGGAACCGCAACAACGACCACCACCGAGGAAACGACCTCTCCCTCCGATCTGACGACCCATTTCACCGGGCCAGCACAGTCTGCATCACCTACCACGACAGATTCAACATCACGAGTGATCGCAAACTGTGAAACCATAATTATGGTCGTAACCTCTCTCCTCATTATATTAACGATACTTATATTGTACAAGATAGGTTTCCATCGCGAAGTTTTGAAGGCTTGGCGGGAGAAACGCGCTGGAGAGGACAATGCGGAAAGGGAATCGTCAGTTGCTGAGTAGAAGGGGACATGCAGGCAAGCAAGGAAGCAAGGAAGCACGCATACCTTCCCCGTCAAGTACTGCATTCATTACCAGTTAAACGACGGTTACACTTGCCAGTGAAAGGTTATTTCAAATTCAATGTGGATCCACTACGAAACGAGATATCGCCTCCGCCCAAACAGTATGTTTAACAACAGCAACAGTAGCAGCAGCAACAACAACAACAAAAACAACAACAGCAACAACAAAACCCTCGTCGTTGACATGAATCCCG